ATAGAAAATCTCATAGTCTAAATTCTAAGAGGGTTTGAGATCTTCCAAGGCGGGGTGGGGGTGAACACCTAGGCAAAATCATAGATGATTAAAGCATTGAAATATTGAAGTATAGATGAAGGAATCTTTATTTGCTCATCCATCTATCCATTCAACAAATACTTTCTGACCACCTCCTATGTGCAAGTCCTTTGTACACACCAAGTAAGTCATGATCTTTGCTCTCAGGTTTCTCATACTCTAGGAGGGGAAATAAGACCTAGCATGAAGGAAAGATGAATGAATTGAGCAAACAAAAGTATTTAGCACTTAACTCTGTGCAAAGCAGTGGGGGGACAAATAGAAAAAGGAAACAGTCCCTGATCTCAAAGAGCTGACATTGTAAAAGGGGAGACAGCGATCTATAGAAGGTTTCAGCCACACATCAGAAGGAAAGACCCCATAGTTCTTAAGGACACAGATAACAGAAAAGAAAGGGATGAACAAAGTTCATACATTTCAGGGGTGGAGGTGAAGAGGCTCAAAAAAGGGCTTCATGGAAGGGGTAGTGCCTGATTTGGGCTTAGACTATTTCATTCTCACAACAACCCTGGGAGGTAGGGACTATTATTATCCCCATTTTACAAATAAGGAAACAGAGGCAAAGAGGGTTAAGTGACTTGCCCAAGGTCACACAGCTAGTAAGTGTCTGAGGCCAGGTTTGAACTCAGGTCTTACTGACTCTAGGCCCAGTGCTCCATCCACTGGGCCACCTATGACTAAAGATGGGTGTGCCAGAATAGGATGTCAGAATATGAGGTTAAGGAATTAACCCCCACATATTTAGGCTTCCTTGCTCTGATGTTTATAAAGCATCTTCCTCTCAATGACACTGTGAGATAGTAATCACAAGTATGATAACCCTTATTTAATAATTTGAGTAAACTGAGGCCTCAAGAGGTAAATCAATTTGCCCAAGATTTAAAGAAAAAGAATCATGTGATATGATGGAAAAGGAACATATTCTAGACCAGGATTCAAATTCTGACTCTGAGGCTTACTACCCTTCTTCTTTCATGTTGCTCCTTTTGGGTTTACACAGAGGAAGACCCTGAAGGAAAAAGATATGGGACAGGTCAGCCTGATGGAGGAGCAGGGAATGGTTGAGAGCAGACGCCTTTACTGGGGGGGTGGGGAGACAAAAAGAAAGACAGAGGAAGACAAGGGAGAGTGGGAGAGAGGGAGAGAAAGAGAGAGAGAGAGAATGAGAGGGGGAGGGAGGAAGAGACAGAGAGAGAGAAAGAGAGAGAGAGAGAGAGAGAGAGAGAGAGAGAGAGAGAGAGAGAGAGAGAGAGAGAGAGAGAGAGAGAGAGAGAGAGAGAGAGAGAGAATGAGAGAGATGAGAGAGGAAGAGAGGGAGGGAGGGAGAGAGGGATGGATGAAAGAGCCCAGAATGATGGAGAACATAGGCCATTGAGAGGAAGGGCAGGGCCTGTTGGGAGAAGGATGTCATACTTAAGATCATATCCTACAGCTGGAAATGTTTGCCCTGATTAGGTAAAGCCTCGTTAGCACCACTCTGTGTTCCAGGCTTGGTCACAAAAGGGATTACAGAGTTCTTAAACAAGAGGTAACACATTTGTGGGTGATCAAGGGTGTGACCGTCTTCGGGTGTGGTTGAGGTCAGGCAGAGGAGGTTGAGAAATAAGAGATTAAGGTGTTTGTGGGAGAGTCAATGTGTATGCTGAAGTCCCCGACTATGAGGACAGTACATATAAGGAGATTTGAGGGGAAGGCAGGAGAAGATGAGGGGAACAGGAAAGCTTTTGTGCCAAAGGTGATGCTTGAGCTCAGCTTTGAAGGCTAGGGGAGATTCTAAGAGTCTTTTCCATGTCTGTCCTATACTGAAGGGAAAAAACAACCCTCACCTTAGCCTTCCATCCCCTGCTAACTATCTTTGATCTCTTCTGCCCTTTGTAGCTAAACTCAAGAAGGCCATCTACAAAGGTGCCTCCACTTTCTCTCCTCTCACTCTCTCCTTAACCCTTCACAATCTGGCTTCCAAACTTAACATTCCACCAAAACTACTCTTTCCAGTTACTGATGACCTCCTAGCTGCCAAATCCAGTGGCCTTTTCTCAATCCTCCTTCTCCCTGACCTCTCTGCAGCCTTTGACACTGTGGATCACACTCTTCTCCTTGAAAACCTCTTCTCTCCTGGTTTTCCTCCTACCTCCCTGACTGCTCCTTCACCATCTCCTTTGCTGGATCCTCCTCAAGATCATACCCTCTAACCACAAGTGTCCCTCAGGGCTCTGTCCTGGGCCCTTTTCTCTTCTCTCTCTGTGCTACTTCACTTGATGATCTTATCAACTCCTATGGATTTTATTACTGTCTCTGCTGACCTCTAATCTCACATCTCCAACCGCCTTTCAGACATCTCAAACTGAGTGTGAAATAAACCTCTTAAACTCAATGTGTACAAAACTGAACTCATTATATTTCCCCCTAAGTCCTTCACCCCTACCCCTACCCCTCCTACCTTCCCAACATCATCCTCCCAGTCTTTCAGACTCACAGCTGAGGAGTTATCCTGGACTCCTCACCATTTCTTACCCCCCATATCCAAGCTGTTGCCAAAGCCTGTCTATTTCACCTTTGCACCATCTTTCATTTGACACTGCCACTTGTCTGGTGCAGGCCCTTGTCCCTCACCTCACACCTGGATCACTGCAATAACCTCTTTGCTGGTGGGTCTGCCTGCCTCAAGTCTCCCCCTACTTCAATATCCTCCATTCAGATGCTAAAGTGATCCTTCTAAATTACAGGTCTGATCATCTCTCTCTCTCTCTCTCTCTCTCTCTCTCTCTCTCTCTCTCTCTCTCTCTCACTCACACACACACACACACACACACACACACACTCATTTAACTCCAGCAGCTCCCTCCCTATTACCTCCAGGAGCAAATACAAAATGCTCTATTTGGCATTCAAAGCCCTTCTTAACTTAGAGCCCCCTCCTGCCTTTCCAGTGTTCTCACTCCTTATTCCCTACCATGTACTCTTTCATCCAGTGACGCTGGCCTCCTGGCTCTTCCATGAACAAGCCCCTCCATCTCTGGGCTCTAGGCATTTTCTCTGGCTGTCTCCCATGCTGGAATAGTCTTCCTTCTCTGCTCTGCCTACTGACCTTTCTGGCTTCCTTTGAATCCCATATTAAAAAGTCATCTTTTATTAGAAGCCTTCCCCAACCACTCCTAATTCCAGTGATTTCCCTCTGTTAATTATTTCCCATTTATCCTGTACATACAAAACTCACTTTGTACGTGCTTGTCTCCACCATTAGACTGTAAGCTCCTTGAGGGCAGAGATTGTCTTTTGCTTCTTGTTGTATCCCCAGCACTTACTTATCACAGTGCTTGGCACCTAGTAGGCATCAAATAAATGTTGATTGATTGAAATGTTTTAGGGGCAGCTAGGTGGCACAGTAGCTACAGCTCTGGCCTTGGAGTCAGGAAGACCTGAGTTCAAATCCAGCCTCAGACACATGATAATTACCAGCTGTGTGACCCTGGGCAAGTCCCTTAACCCCAATTGCCTCACTAAAAAGCAAAAAAAAAAAAAAGAATGAAATGTTTTGTACATCCATATGTATGGACAGGTAGCTTCTTCCCAGTCAGAATTTAAGCCCCTTTGGGGCAGGGACAATTTTGTTTTCTCTTTGTATCTGCAGCACCTGGCAGAGTACCTGGCATACAGTAGGCCTTTAATAAATCCTTGTTGATAGATGAATGGATTGATTTCTATAGCTCTTTAAGATTTGTAAGAGGCTTTATAGGTGGCACAGTGGATAGAGCACTGACCCTGAAGTCAGGAGGACCTGAGATCAAATACGGCCTCAGACCAAACACTTGACACTAGCTGTGTAACCCTGAGCAAGTCACTGAACCCCAACTGTCTAAAAAAAAAAACAAAAAACCTTTATGTAGAAGATCTTATTGGAGTCTCACAACAAACCTGTGAAGTAAGTTCTAGTATTGTCCACATCTTATAGATCAGGAAACTGAGGTTCAGAGAGTCTAAATGATTTTTCTGATGGTTGCACAACAAGCAAAGGTAACATTCAAACCCAATTTTCTCTTGATTCCAAGCCAGCACTCTTCCCATTCTGTGAAACCACCTGAACTCTCCACTTCACATTGTGTTGGTAAACTCGGCCAAGACATTCTTCTAAGAAGCATGTGATACAGGGCAGCCAGGTGGTGCAGTGGAGAAAGTATGGGCCCTGGGGCCAGAGGATCTGAATTCAGATGTGGAAGAAGGAGAAGAAGGAAAAGGAGGAGGAGGAGGAGGAGGAGAAGGAAGAGGAGAAGGAGGAGAAGGAGAAGGAGAAGAAGAAGAAGGAGAAGGAAAGAGGAGAAGGAGAAGGAGAAGAAGGAGGAGGAGAAGGAGAAGAAGGAGAAGGAGAAGGAGGAGGAAGAGGAAAAGGAGGAGGAGGAGAGGGAGGAGGAGGAGAAGGAGAAGAAGGAGGAGGAGGAGAAGAAGGAGGAGGAGGAGGAGGAGAAGAAGAAGAAGAAGAAGAAGAAGAAGAAGAAGAAGAAGAAGAAGAAGAAGAAGAAGAAGAGAAGACAGCCTGCAGAGGCAAGAAGGTTGAATGCTGGCACCCACACTAGCCATGGGTACTTGGACAAGGCACCTCCTCTCTCAGGGTCTCAGTTAATTTATCCTCAAAAGAAAAAGTTGGATCAGGGTTTCTAGTTCATGATAACTTTCACATTCTATATTCTAATGTTCCTCCCATCTTCACAATTCCATGTTCTAACCTTCTATATTCTGTTTCCACTAACCTTAACAACTTATGTTCTAGGGGCAGCTAGGTGGCTCAGCGGATAGAGCACTGGCCCTGGAGTCAGGGAGGACCTGAGTTCAAATCCAGCCTCAGACACATAACACTCACTAGCTGTGTGACTCTGGGCAAGTCACTTAACCCCAATTGTCTCACCAAAAAAACCCCACAAAAAACAACAGCAACTTGTGTTCTAAGGCCTCTTCCAGCTCTAACATTCTATGTTCCAAGGTCCCTTTTTGATGGACTTCATAGCTATTACATTTTATGTTCTAAGTGTTTTCCCAGCACCAATATTCTCTTTTCTAAGGTATCTGTCAGCTTCAAAATTCCATATTCTAACATTGTACCCCCTAAGTTTCCCCTAGCTTTAGCATTCTTTGCTTTAAGGTTCTTCTTAGAACTGATATTCTATGTTCTAAGGTTCTAGTTCTAGTATTCTATGTTCAAAAAAGGCTCTCAAGCTTTAACAGTCTATATCCTAAGAACCCTCCCAGCTCTGACATTCTGTGTTCTAAGGCCCTCCCAGCTCTGACATTCTATGTCTTAAGGTCCCTTCCAACTATAACCTGCTACCTTCTAACCTTCGATGTACTAAGTCTCTTGGCCTTTGAGCCACGTCACCTCTACGGCCCCAGTTCTGGTATCTTATGTTCTATGACTTCTTCCATTTCTAACTCAGAAATTCTTTGTCTTCACACATTTATGTGGAGTAGACATTGACTCTGCCCCAGAGTAACCTAGCTGTATGCAAACTTACTGTGCCACTATGGTTTCAGGGGAGTCGCCTGTACTTTATACCCAGTAGATGCCAAACCAGACCTTAATGTGGTCATATCTCACATTCTCATGGACCTGAGAACACTTTCACTTCTAGTCAGAAATCCCCCTGATCACACCCAAGGTCACAGTTCCTCCACCTATAACATTTCCTTTCTTAAAATCTCAACAGAAGCCCCTTTTTATAGGCAAAGACACTCAAAGGAGATTATAGTCCTTGAGACATCAGTGCAAAGCCAACCGAAACAAATGTTCTATGGACCTGCGAATCCTAACATGCTTATTGTGCAAAGCTTGGGAACTATTCTGCTAGAAGGGAAAGAAATTTTGCTTTCGTGAAGTAAGAACAAGCAGTCTATTGCTTCACATATCCTGTGGTTATGTGTGGTCATGTCAACCCGATCATTTTTTTCTGATTGCTCTAACTGTCCTCCACAGTAACAATGCTGGCGTGGTCCAACCTGCCAAGCGCCCAGACTCTCTAGGGAGGGGTCTGTTGGGGCCAGTAAAGCTTGGTCCCCCGATCCCAGAAGCCTTCCTATCACTCGTCTTGACTCGAAAGTTCCAGTATTGGGTAAGTCATTTCCTCTGCTTGCTCTTAAGCCTCCCTTCTCCAACAATGGAGAAGTGATAGCTGACAAAGCCAGGGCAGCCCACTGCAGCCATACCAGAGGGGTGAGGAGGATCTACTTGGATCCTCTCAGATCCCCTGAGACCTTGCTTCCGGAACAAGGTAGGGGAAGAGAAAGAGGGGAGCACGAGGGGGTCTTCTGGAAAGTGCTGAAAAAAGACTTGTCTTGCCACGCTTGACCACAGGCCCATGACTCCAGCCCTGAGCACTTCCTCCCTCTCTCCTCTTTTTTAGGCTATGATGACATTTCATGCAAGGGCACTTGTCTCATTGAAATGTCCCTCCTAGAGTGTTTCATGTTGGCAGCAGCCCCTACCCCTTTCCTGCTAGTGAAGGTTGAAGGAAGGAGGTGTATGCAGAGTTATGAGATGTATGGGGTGTATTAAGATCACAGGCGTCAGAGCTAGAGGGAACCTTTGGGATGGCTCATTCCTAGCTCTGCTACTTCTCTGTGTTCCCTTAGGCAAGTTACTTTAAGTCTGGGCCTCACTTTCCATGAGATGAGATTGGGCTAGGTGACCTCTATGGCCTCTTATGGCTCTAAGACTATGAATCCACAAGGCCATACAGTGATGAAGAATGTTTCACCTCCCGAGGAAGCCATCTTTGGGTGGTATTAACTTCTTAGAAAGTCCTTCCTTACTGGGCATGGTGCCTGTAATCATGACTACAGTGGAGACAAGCCTGGTGCATCTCTTGCTCAGGGTCACTCGGACATTTACTAGCTACATGACCCTCGGCAAGTCGCTTTAACCCTGTTTGTCTCAGTTTACATCTGTAAAATGAATGAGGAAAAGGAAATGGCAAATGACTCCAGTATCTTTGCCTAGAAAACCCCAAATGGGACCATGAAGAGTTGGACACAGGTGAATAATAAGACAGGGGAGACAAGCCTGGTGCATCTCTTGAGCTTTGGAGTTCTGAGCTGCAGTGGTCTATGCCAATCAAGTGTCCACCCCAAGTTGAGCATCAATACGGTGAACGTCTGGTCAGTGAGCTATGAATGTACCCAAGGAAGGGCAAACTGAACTGGATCTTAAATTAGGTAGATTAAAGCACCTGTGATGGTTCAAGAAGTGGTTGAAGAACATCTAGAAAGGTAAACAATGATGTCAAGAGGCAGTCTGGCTTCATCAGGAACTCCTCATGCTAGAAGACCCTCATTCCTTTCTTTGATCAGATCACTAAACTGGTAGGTGAGGGGATGGCTGTGGATACAGTTTTTCTAGGCTTGAGCAAAGCACATACTTTTTTTTGGAGAAAATGGGAAAATATGGATGAAACAATAAAATAAATGGCAACAGAAATTAGTTGGATGGCTGGACTCAAAGAAGAGCTTTTAATAGCTCAATGCCAATGTGGCTGGAGGTCTCCAGTGGGGTGCCCAAGGATCTGGGTTTGGCCATGTGCTCTTGACTAATATTTTTATCAATGACTTGGATAAAGGGATAGACAGCACACTCACCAAGCTTGTCATCAACACAAAACTGGGAGGGATAGCCAACAGAGAGTATGGCAGACCCAAGATCCACAAGGATCTTTATAGGTCATAGCCTGGGTTTGAATCTATTAATATAAAATTCAATAGGGATAAAATCTTGCAAATATAATATGGGGAAGGCATAGATAGCAGTTGTTCTGAAAAATATCTGGAGGTTTCAGTGGGCTGCAAGCTCACTGAGTCAACAATATGATATGGCAGCTCCAAAAAAGTGAATGAGATCTTGGAGAGGCCACTGATACTTTTATCGAAGTCATTGGTAAAAATGTTAATGAACAGCACATGGCCAAGCCTCAAGTTCACGATGCATGGGAACCAAGCCCATTTACGCTTGAACAGAGAAGGTTCAGGAGGGACCTAATAATGGTCTTCTAGCATTTGGAGGATGATTGGGGGACGGAGGCATTAGACTCATTCTGCCTGGCCTCAGAAGCAGTAGAAACCACAGTGGCCAGCGCAAGCTTGATGTAAAGAAAACTTCCCGGGGTGCAGCTAGGTGGCACAGTGGATAGAACACTGGCCCTGAAGTCAGGAGGACCTGAGTTCAAATCCAGCCTCAGACCAAACACTTGTCACTTACTAGCTGTGTGACCCTGGGCAAGTCACTTAACCCCAATTGCCTAAAAAAAAGAAAATTTCCCAACCATTAGAGTTGCCCAGAAGCAGAAGGGGCTGCCTGGAGACACGGCAGCTCCCTGCTCCTTTGAGGTCTTCAAACAGAGGTTGGAAAATCACTAGTCAGCTACGCTGGACTGGGAATCCCTTCCAGGGATTCATTAGATTAGATGGTGACTGAAGTGCCTTTCAGCCTTCAAATGTGATGACCCTGGTTTGTTCAACTGATGCTTTGTACAGCATGGTGGTGAAGGCCTTTACAACTTCATTAACTCTTCTGCAAAGACTACCCTTCCAGCCATCGCATTCTGGGTTCTAAGGCCCCTCCCAGCTCTGAGATCCTATGTTCTAAGGCCCCTCCCAGTTCTGACATTCTGTGTTTTAAAGGCCCTCCCAGCTCTAATATTCTGTGTTCTAGGGGCACTCTCAGCTCTAACATCGTGTGTTCTAGGGGCCCTCCCACCTTTGGCATTCTGGGTTCTAAGGTCCCTCCCAGCTTTGACATTCTGTGTTCTAAAGCCCACCTCTGACATTCTGGGTTCTAAGGCCCCTTCCAGCTCTGACATTCTCTGTTCTAAGTCTGTTCCAGTTCTGGCATTCTTGATTCTAAAGGTCCCTGCTTGCTGTATCACTCTCTATCTATGTTCTTGGGATTGGGTTCCTAGAGTCACGGCTTCTCTACCTCATTTCCTGATCCACCTTTGAATGCTGCAAGCTCTTGTGGTGGAGACCCATAAGGGCTTATATAATATCCACGCAAAGGACTGAGTTACAGGATAGGGCCTTAGGTCTGCCTAAAGCCTGGGTTAACAATTACGAGTGTCTGAATCACAATCCACTTTAAATATCAATCATTTATACCTGGGGATAGTTAAAGGTGCTAAGGGCCTATAGGGATGGAGAAGAGTAAGGAAGAACATGGGAGGCCTGGGAATCTAGAACCTGGGAGATCACCACCAGAACAGGGAGATTTGGGACATAGAAGACAAATTGTCCCCAGGCTGTCTCTGTTTGGGGGGCTGCCCTTTCCAATGGCTTGGCCACACCTCCTGAGTCCCTGGGGCATGGTGGAGCATCTAATGTTTTTTTTTTTCCTTATGTCTGTTCCTTCTCTAGAGGTCTGAGAGACCCCGGCCCACCATGGATGCATGCTGGAACTCTGCCAATACCTCCCAAGGACACTTGGATTCTGAAGCGTTGAGGGACTACATGGTCCTGGATTTTCCCCAGAAGACGGCCATCGCCGTGATCTGTTCCCTCTTGGGCGTCCTGTGTGTCCTGGAGAATGCCGTCGTGCTCTTCCTGATCCTGTCCTCCCCAAGGCTCCGCAGGAAACCCTCTTACCTGTTCATTAGCAGCCTTGCAGGTGCTGACTTCCTGGCCAGCCTGGTTTTTGTCATCAGCTTTGTAAAATTCCATGTCTTCCACCAGGAAGAATCAAGGAGCGCCTTCCTCCTGAAGCTTGGGGGTGTCACCATGACCTTCACGGGCTCTGTGGGCAGCCTGCTGCTGACCGCCATCGACCGCTACCTCTGCCTGTGCCACCCTGCCAAATACAAGGCCCTGCTCACCCGGGGAAGGGCGCTGGCCACGCTCGCAGGCATGTGGGCCATCTCAATGGTGGTCTCCTACCTGCCGCTCATGGGGTGGACCTGTTGCCCCAGACCCTGCTCCGAACTCTTTCCCCTAATTTCCGATGACTATCTGCTGAGCTGGATTGTACTCATCATCATTCTGCTGGTTGCCATCATTTACACCTACACCTACGTCCTGTGGAAGGCCTACCGGCACACGTCAAATTTGGTGGTGTACCAACAGAGGCGGTTAACAGGCATGTCTCGGATGCGGCTGGATGTGAGGTTGGCCAAGACCCTGGGAGTGGTACTGATGGTGCTGCTTCTCTGCTGGCTGCCTGTGCTGACCCTCATGGTCTACAGTTTGGCTGCTTCATTGAATGAACACATTAAGAAGGTCTTTGCTTTTTGTTCCATGCTATGCCTGATCAATTCCATGGTGAACCCTATCATCTATGCCCAGCGAAGTAGGGAGATCCGTTCCTCTTCCAGAAAGTGGCTGACCCGTTGGAAAAATATGCTCAGAGGCACTGGAGCAGAGGGTGCAGAGGATACTCAGAAGTCCTCAGTCACAGAGACAGAGGGGGAGACAAAAGTCACCTGAGCCCCTGATCCTAGCCTCCTTATTGTCTTGGTTCATTAATTCCTATGTAGGTTTCTGATATCAAAGGTAATAGGCATCCCCACCTTCTCAAAAGCACCTATTATTAACACTAAAAAACCTTTTGTTAGTATAAAGATAACAGAGAGGCAATGTGCTACAGTAGATATAGAGGCTTTAAGGCTGGCCTCAGAGTCAGGAAGACTTGGCTCAAATCTGGCCTCTGACACATACTGGCTGTGTGACCTTGGGTTAGTCACTTAACAGAGCTCTAGGCAATTCTGTTAGGCTCTAAGTTTCAGAGAAGGGGCTGATCTGCATTGGTAGAGGAAGTTTCCTCTCCTGGAGTTCCAATGAAATCACAGATCCAGTGACTATACCCCTAACAGTGAAATACAGTTATCCTTTCCACATCACAGGGTTGGGGGCATGGCGCCCTCATGATCTGGAAAATCCACATAAAATCTTTTGGCCCTCCCTTTGTACCAAAGAAGAAGTTTGAAATATTGTGGTATTAAATGACAAAATATGTTGATATTATACAATACTATACATATATTTTATGCATTTCTGAGTTTCTAAATTTTTTCTGTGTCACCAACTGGCCTTTGTATATTGTCTGTGGCTTCCGCAAAACTCCCAGTGCCTGATGCCGACCTGTGACATATCAAAACCGCAATGGAGAAAGCCTCGATGTGGAAAGGATACTTGTAATGGGGCATTGATAAGCTAGCAATCCCAAAAGGTGAGTGGGGCAAGGGGGACAGAGGAAGAGAGACAGGACAGGAAAACAGCCCTGTAGTCTGTGAAGTTTGTGTTAGCATGAATAACGAATCCCTTGAAGTGGCTGCATTTATCTGAATTTGCACTATTTGAGGTTATAATTACATAAAATGTAGTCATTGGTTTCCAGCCCAATGGAAATATGCAGTGTAAATTTGAATAATGCCACAAGACAGGATTCATCACGCACCGTAATTATTTACACTAATCAGAACTTAATTGTATTGAGAAGTTATTGATACAAAGAAGATTTTGTAGGAGGAACAGCCTACCAGAACCAAGAGTGTAAGTTGGACGTTGGCATCCATGCTGGTGGTCCGTGTGCTCTCTTTCTCACTGTCGGGCTAGTCACCTCAAAGAATCCCTGCCCAGGGGGCTCACGGCACAGATGGATCCTGCTCAGTATCCCTGGAGGTTCAAGGCCAGGCATCCCACAGTGGGAGGTTGGAGGGGGAGAGAGGATCTTCTCACCACCAGCATAGACCCCCAGAGATTGCTGGCTAAGCAGTTCCAACAGGCCACTGGGAGCTGAGTTTTTATAGCTCTCCTGGAGGCCACAGCATTAGTTAACTGGTCTTTTCAAACACTGCAGTTTATCTTTGTTGACGCAGTTCAACCGGCCCTTGTAGAATAACCTTATTAGATCATTGGCCACGAACCAAGCTCCTTGTGGAAGGCCCTGGCTCATCAGATTAGGTACATAGAAGAATAAGCAGTTTCTTGGTGAAATATCCTCACTGGTCAAACAGAATTTCTGCAAGAAAGTGTATGTGATACATGTTGAATGTGTTGCAAATTCAATAACCTTACTTTACTTAACCAAAGGTACCTGTGTATTTTATTATTGTTGTTGTATTTGGTTGTTTTTTCAGGCATGTCCCAGCTTTGTTTCCCCATTTGGGGTTTTCTTGGCAAAGATCCTAGAGTGGTTTGCTTTTACCTTTTCCAGCTCATTTAATAGAGGAAACTGAGGCAAATGGGGTTAAGTGACTTGCCCAACGTCACACAGCTAGTTCATGTCTGAGGCCAGATTTGAATCCCTGATCTCCACCCACTGCGCCACCTAGCACAGTATTTTATTATTACAGCAGGACTTCAAGAACCTATGATTTCCTCTAGGATGGGAAGGGTACTCCCACACACATCCCTCAACCTCATCATGCTTTAATAGATAATTTTTGTGAAAAGTTGTCTGTAAATTACATTTGGGGGGTAATAGTTGTCTTTTAAATACAAGTCATCTCTATACCATCAAGACTATAAGATCAATCAACCAGGATTTATTAATGTGCCAGGCAATTTTTTTTGTAGATGAAAACAAATGCTTCTTCCTAAAGCCTTGAGGGGATGGAGTGGGGGTAGGGGGGGACAATGGGGTGCTGTTCTCGGGCACAGCGTAATTTGTGGACTCCAGACAAACGTGATGCCTACTGATACACATATTTCATCAGGAGAGCTAATCATTCTCAAACTGACGAAGGCTCCCAGGAAAGTATATTCCTTCTTAGGAAGGGTGAAGTTGATTCAGCCTGGCTGCTTCATATCTGTACTTGCTGTGAGACGCTGCTGGAGGTGGAAAAAGATTCATCTTCAAGATCGTCTTCCCACTGGGACTGGAAGCCTCCTGGGTGGAGTGCCAATTTCTCTGACTTAGTGTAGGAAGAACAGATATGGAGTGAGAAAGAGGAGTTTTCTGCAAACTAGACTTAGAGAACATGGTTTTGATCTTTAATTTCTTCTTCTTGTGTTTTGTAGGAATCGTTACTATCTAGCCAGAGTAATACAAAATATATACGCAAGGTATACCATAAGGTGATTTTTTTTGGAGGGGTGGAGAGAAAATGAGTTTCCCAATAGAGATTCCCATATTCACTGCAATGGGCCACTCAGACCCTAGAGTTCACATAAGCAATTGCTTTATATATGCATACATGTTATATATATATATATATATATATATTATTTATTATTAAATTTTGAGTTCAAATTCTATCTATCCTCAAGGCCCTTCCCTGCCCATTGATAAGACAAATAATATAATATCAATTACATATGTAAAATTAAACAAAATACACCTACATATTAGCCATGTTTCAAAAAAGAAAAATTTTTAAAATGAAAAGAAAATCCTTCAATCTGTACTCAGAGTTCATCAGTTCTCTCTGAGATGGATAGTATTTTTCATCATGAGTCATTAATGAATTGTGTTGGTTTGTTGTATTGAACAAAGTAGCTAAGTCTTTCATGTGGTCGAACATCTTTATAATATTGCTGTTACTATGTACAATGTTCTCCTGGTTCTGTTCACTTCACTTTGTATCAGTTCATATAAGCCTTCCCAGGTTTTTCTGAAACCATCCTGCTCACTTTTTTCTGTAAATTTTTTTTATTTTAAACTTAAATACAAAATGAGAAAAGAAAAAGAAAACATTGCCATGTACATAGCAGACCATAAGAGAGGATTCACTATAAAATGATAAATTTCCATGTCAAGAAAGCCAGTATAATAAATACTACACATTGTTTTCAAAGCTGCCTAGCTTTTCTTTACTTCCTTGTTAGTTTTCTTTTGTTCTCTGCTGAGCACTTTTTACTTAATTTTTCCCTTCCTTTCCCCTCAAAGGCTACAATTGAGTGTGGATGTACATCTATACGTAGATATCTATAAACATACTTGTATGCACTCATACACATACGTGTAAAACCATATTGTGCTTATTTCCCCCTATCATCTGGTTCTCTGAAGGTGAATAGCATCTTCCTTCATAAGTCCAAGGCTTCCCATGTTTTTCTAAATCGACCAGCTCATCATTTCTTACACCACGGCAATATTGCAACCCAACCCCATCCTTTCTGAGAGATTGTTTATGAAAGTTTTCCTCCCAATTTTCTGCATTCGTTCTGTTCTACATAGGTTTCATTTATACAAGAAAATTTTAATTTAAAATAATCAAAATTATTCTTTTCACATTTCAACAATGCTCTCACCTCATAATATAGTTTAAGGTCTGATACTGCTTACTCTACTTCCTTTACATCTTTTTCCCCTGGTTTCTTTGAAGTTCCTGATCTTTTGCCCTTCCAAACAAACTTTATTATTTTTTCTGACTCAGTAAAATCATTTTTTAGTAATTTAATTGGGATGACATTGAATAAATTGATTAGTTAGATAAAATTGTCATTTTAAAAATTATATTGGCTTTACCTACCCATGAACAGTAAACATTACTTCAATTATGTAGATCTGAATTTATTTGTATAAAAAAGTATTTTATGGGGGCAGTTAGGTGGTACAGTGGATAGATAATTGGCCTGGAGTCAAGAGGACCTGAGTTCAAATGTGGCCTCAGACATTTGACACTAGCTGTGTGACCCTAGGCAAGTCACTTAACTTCAAGTGCCTCACCAAAAAAAAGTATTTTATGTTTATGTTCATAGAGTTCTTGTGTCTGTTTTGGCAAGCATATGCTCAGGTATTTTATGCTGTCTAATGTTTTTAATGGTCTAAAACAGTATTGAATAATATTGCTAACATATAGTGTAGTTTCTCTATTTTTCACTTTTAATTAAATCTATTTTAACTCTAACTTTGTCTGAGATCATGATTACTATCCCTGCTTTTTAAAAAACATACTAAATTCTACTCTGCCCTTTATAAGCAATTGCTTTTTTGTAGCAATCAGGGTTAAGTGACTTCTCAGAGTCACACAGCTAGTAAGTATCAAGGATCCGACGTCATATTTGAACTCGGGTCCTCCTGACTCCAGGGCCAGTGCTCTATCCACTGCACCACCTAGCTGCCCCAATCAATTGCTTTAAAAAAAAATTATTCTCTGACCCTCAGGTAAAAGCAGCACCCAAGGAGCTAAAAGCAACTAGTCCACAAGGCGATTTTGTTGAGACCTGAGAAGCTCTCAGCTGCAACTACAGACATATACTCCTATTCTTAGACACAGCTGCACCCAAAGGCCCACAGCTGGGTTTCAGCTCAATCCACCATAGAACACAGTTCACTCAAATTGCCTGTGTCTGTTCCACAGCTTTCTGGCTCACGGTAGCCAGGGCTACTGTCATGGGGTAGGAGGAAGGAGGAGGGGTACTCAAGCTGCCTCAGCTCTACTGGCATGCTGGCCCACACAGCCCACCCCTTGACCCCTGGCCACCAATAACCGAGAAGACCAGGACCCCCAAAGTCAAATTCACGGAATGACAATACCCACCTCTCTCAAAATTGTGGTAAAGCTGAGAATACCAGCATCCAAGGGCTTGAGGGTAGGGATAAGCTGGAGCCGGCTAGTGCTGTTTCCCAAGAGCTGATTGTTAAATTTTCGGTTTGATCATTTATTTACATGTCAGAAATCAGAGCTTGATGTATTGTTTCACTGATTGTCTAGACTTAAGACAAAAAAAGTTAATACTTAAGATTTATGTTCTATGTGTTCTATATACATACACACACACATACATATATACATAATGCATGTATGCATAAATATACATGTGTGTATGTATGCATATTGGAAAGCTTTGTGGAGAGGTCATTAAACTCAAACAGCAACTTACAGGCAAAGGAGCCACTGTCCTCCATTATATTTTTTCAATCACTGGTGATGTCCAAGCTCATGCCTGCAGGCTCACCAGTGCATCACTGTCAACGTCACTATCTCACTGTTGTTTTTCTATCTAAGCTACTGGCTCTGGCCAGTCTAGCTCTTATCCCACTCAGGAAGG